TGAAGCTAAGGCACAGATGATTGTGGGGGTGCTTGCCTCGAAAATTCGGTAGCAGTGTGTGGAAACGGTAGCGTGAAGAGCGAGGGAACAGGTCAGCCCGGCCCAATATGATGTATCCCACCGCTACACTCCTTGGGGGGAAACGTTTGAGCTCAAAACTTCTTTGAAAATTGCGCTGAACGATCTCCTGAATAGGTTGTTTGGAGGGTTTTCTCCCCGCCCTGTTGTTTCACATGCTATCTCATTGAGTTGTTGTGGAAGTGTCTTCAAATAAGTGAGGAGAGGATGATGAGGCGTGGAAGTGGAGCGCAACTGTGATCGGGTTTTGATAAAAGCGTGAAAACCACCCCGGGATCAGTCCATACTGACTCCACGCGTACCAAAGTCACAAAGGTTTTGTACTCAATGAATGGAGATATTCAGTTGCAGTAGGTAAAATTACCACCTACAGACTAACGTTTACTAGCCACATGTGATGTATTTGTGCACCTCCAACTTCGGAAAACGTGAGGGTGTTTTAGTTCATGGTAGTTAGGTGTGTCGTGAACACCACTTGTGAGGTTATCCATCCGCTATCACGCGGATGACTCTTCTTTCTCAGTTAGCTGGAAGTATCCCTCCTTCCTTACAATCAGGAAACATGGATGGAAGATTTTTGATTGGCTCAGACAAGGTCGGTGAGGCGACGGATTACTTGTTTTGTTGTTAAGTAAAGCCTTTCTGTCCCGGGCGTTCCATCCACGATTTGTGGTTTAGTTCTTCAGCCTCGAACACCACCTCGGTATAGTCGTATAGACCTGACTGTCAATATTCGGTGATTGACTACCACACTAACCCGCCATTTTTCGAAGTTTGTGAGTTGAAGAATTCTCAGATTTTGGCTGGGTGCCCTCCCCCGGGGTTATTTGACTTCGTGTAAGACGGATAACACACCCGTTTAAAAGTGGTCATACTCGCCGCGCTACAGGCCCCGGCCGCCCGTGCGGCACATGAGCGTCGCGTCCTCTTCCATAGAAGAAAATGCGACGAGGAACAAACCTCCATAACTTCTGTCACAATTTGTCGTTTAGCAATTCCAAAGTGTAGATTTGTGAGTTCACCCGCCGGCCTAGGGGGTAGCCTTTGTTTTGTACGGCCTTGGAACGAGCATAGTTAGACGAGTTCCCGATGGGCATCGTGCAGCACCGCTTTGTTAGATACGGCTCCACCTAGGTATGATATCTATGTATGTATCAGCGCTTCATATCAGTTGTGCTTTATAACTGAAGCGATAAGAGTACCAACGTTGATGTGACTGTCCGGCCATTTGTGGGAGGGCGGTTGCGCTGGGCGTCTGGGTCGGCACTTTGGTTAAACGCCATAAAAGTGCCCTTGGTTGAAAAAGGCGGCACGCAGTGCCTGCTAAAGGATGATTGGTCGAAGTGGCCATCGAAATTCGAGACCTTATACCTCCCCGATGGGCCCTTGGACGCTGATTACAAATCTGCCCTCCATATCTGCTAAACGACTTCCTGGACAAAGTTATGCAGGATTTTTGACCAGGTCACACCCATTTCCAGCATGTATATGAGGTGCTCCAAATTGCCCAAATTGGCTGGAATCTGAAACTAGAGGTGCTTCAGTGCCCTGGAAATCAACACTGCAGTCATATTTCGTGAAAACGTCTTGTACGCATTCTGGAGGGGCAGGGTGTGCAGGAACCTGCAACGTCCTTGGCAAGCGTTTTTACGCCGAACGAGTGTGATATCTTCGTGCTCTGGGCTCAAATTAGCCCTAGAGACAAGTTTTCAACCAAATTTGAGATTTCGACCTATTTTCGATACAGTGGGGTAACCATAGGCAGCCAATTCCTAAAGGTTGCTGGCACTATCGCCGATTCAAATCTCTGTGAGCAGTGGAGGTTCCTCGCTAAATCTTAGTCCTTGTTGCTGATGACGGCTTCTTGATAACAACCACGACATCCCACTTTTGGCTTCCATGCCATCTGGAATCAGTTTGGCTCACAACACGACGGAACGAATAATGCCGCCGAAACCAACAATCAGGAGGTCCCACTAGGAGTGTTCCAGAATGGCTCTATCACATCAGAAATAAAATTTTTTGGTTGGTAGAATCAGGTCTCCTAGCCTCGCAGAAGTGCTTTCCGGATGTGCAGGAGGCATTTTTGAGAAAATGCAAAATGGCGATTCATGGAGGGATTCGAACCTCTCACCTCGCATACTTGAGCGCGGCACACTACCCACTAGGCCGCGACGCACACCTTGTGAAGACTCACGTCTCATTTGTGTTACCACTCAATTGTGCTCCGTACAACAACCTCCTGCATATCTCTTCTCAGAGAATCGTTTAGCAGATATGGAAAGCAGATTTGAAATCAGCGTCCGAAGACGCATCAGTGTGTATGCACCTTGTCTGAAATGGCCACTTCGACCAACCATCCTTTCCTTGTAAGCACCACAAGTATACTTTCGTTGCTAGGCGTATCGACTCGGTACGGCTTTGTTCGTTCGTCCCACTTGCCTTTTATGTTACAGACAAGTGGCCATAAGGAATTTAAAACTGCTTCAGGATGTCCGACTGTCTATCTCACGCATTGTTCGTGACAGCATCCGTATTTGAACTTTAAAATGAGTTGCAGACGCTTGCATGGTTTCTGAAGAAAAAACAAAAGGTCTCAGCTAAGAGGGTGCATCCGCCTAATCGTCGCGACAACCGGTGAATCAACAGGTTCTGATCACGGAATTTCTTTTGGCTGGTTTGTGACAGGACAATCGATAATATGCCCGTCCTTCGCGTGTGGCAAGCCACGCTCAACGTGAGGGACGAGTTGTCCCGTCCAGTCGTTTGACTCTGGCGATGGGACAGGAAAAATGATATCATGCAGTTGCCTTGCGCCAAAGCGCCGCGGTGCGACAGCGAAATAAACTATGGTTGCCCTCTGCTACACCTCTTTCCAATTGTTACCCGTTGATACCTTTTTGGCCAGGAGTGCGAATAACACTTCGAAACAAATTCGATGAAAGAGCAGCCACGCCAAAGTGGAGGAGGACAAGTTGCATGTAAGTGAGAGTCCAACTAACGGCGTGGTCTTCAATGCTCACCGGGCACTGCGTATCGATAGGTTTTTTCCTACTAGATCGAGTGTTTCAACAACACTTTTCTTAGCAATATTCAGTGTTATAATGCTTGAATTACACCGACTGATGCTGTATTACCGCAGAGAATGCAAACTTAAATGGATTCTTGCTCGAGTTTCATTCTTGTTCTACACCCGAGTGTCTGCATCAGAATCGTGATTTGCCGCGCTGCCATGCGTGAAGAGCGACGCTGCGCCGTGATAGACGAATTCTCCTGCCATTCAAATATGAATATTAAAGGTGGTTACGACATCGTGAACTCTTGTGCACGAGGTTGTGAGACGCAGATAGATAGGAGGTTGCACGTTTCCAAAAGCACTTGGACACGTTCGAAAACATTTGGCGAGCCAGGAAAATGGGCTTTGTAAGGAAGGACACCGAGGTGGTAAACGCTACCCCCCCCCCCCCCCCCCCCCCCCCCCCCCCCCCCCCATTGCAAAGAGCTGGATTGTCTGAGGTCACGCTGACCATAGAATGCTATTCAGACGACAGAGTGCAGAGAAAAACAGAAGATCGACGCATTCAAAGGGGTTAGGTCAAGCTGTCCGTGGACCATTAAGGTCAAGGAGGTGTAACTACTGAAGATATTTAAGTGTTTCGATGCTCCAATATTGTGAGCCATGACAGCAATAGACGGTGCAGGGAATAACTAAAGACACGTGAAACAGGGGCCTAAAAGGGTATGTGACAAGAGAATCGTAATTCACCGCGCTGGTCGCCTGCAAATGACGATGGTTCCAGATAGTAGAGGCGACAACAGGCAATTCAGAATCGAAAATCGTCATGAATATCTACGATGACGGGGTCCACATGATGTCCGGTGCTGCAGTTGACAGGTTAACACAAACCGTCACGAACCGCGGACGAAAAACCGCGCTCATCGTCGCCGGCGCGGTACGGACGGCACCAGTAACGATCCTTCTCGATCTCCGGCCTAATGTGCGATAAAAAATACGCGCCATCGCGCTGACGCCCATATTGAGATTTTTTCACGCCTCATACACGCACGCGTGCAGCGCACGCAACGCCAGCAGTAGGGAGCGGTTATTTGCCGCGATCCATAGGCCTAGCGAGTTGACAGGTGTCTTAATCATAATTTACGCGTGTCTCCATTCAAGCTGGTAACTCTCCAAACCACTGAATTATATGGTTTCTGTTTTTCCTAACCTACATCAGGCCGTGAGTGTTAACGTGGGTGCTCATGCCTCTCAATCACGTTGTCCCCTTATAATCTCTTAGGGAATCGCACTAGTTCAGAATTTTGCACGAGTTGCACAAGACGGATGGTTACATGGAAGGGGTATGTCACAAGGGGATCGTAATTTGCCGCGCTGGTGGGCGTCGCGGGCGACGTTCCCGCCCGCCAAAGGACCATGTTTCAGCAGTAGAGACGACAACGTGCAATTAAGGACCGAAAAAAGTTAGGTCTACGAATGACGGGGTCTACATCTAAGTCGCTCGGTCTCCATTCGACAGCGGCTTAAAACGACGTTATGAAAACGCCGCCGCCATCGCCGGCGCATCGGCGGGTGCGGAATTACCATCCTCTTTACGGTCTCCCACATGGAAGACGATTTGCATGACATGTTCTGACATGTCGTAAGTAAAGAGATCGCGCCAAACGACATAAATCCGCAATGAGTCTTGATTCTGTAAATTTGAACGGTGTCCTTTTCCCTCCAACGCCTTGTCAGGTCTTCTCAGTTGTTATCACTACATCACCCACCAGAAGCATTCGCGTCTCACCGCCTTTTTTAACTCTTTTTTTTTTTGCAGCGACGTCCCTTTGTCACTGCGACCGACGAATTTCGTGGCAGATAGACATATTGAGTGGGATATAGGAAGATCCTTCATTAAATAATATTAAACTCTGATGCGCTGATCCATCTTGATAACATCAACATTTGGAACTCCTGTTTTGAAAACTTCCGCAGCATCTTTGTCGTCAGCCGACACCTGATGGCAGATTCTTTTGAGAAGCAAAGCAGCTGTGTAAGTCCGAGAGATACTACCTGTTTGGAGCAAAGTACTAATTTGTCCTTTTTCAATGGTCCTTTAGATCGCACTACAGCAATAGTTAGGACCTTGCCAGAATCAACAAAATCTGTTACCGGTGCGACGCTGAAAGAAGTTCTTTCAGGTTTGTGCAGGATCCAACTCCCGGAAAACTAACCTGTATAATTCGTTGTCTGTGCATCTGACCTTGATCGCGAAACGGACTTTTGTGTTGTTGGTAACTTTGAATACCTGTTGACCTTCTTCAAATTCCCACTTCAGCTCCATAGGGAGAAACTTCCAACTTTGCATCTATAAGCTTTATTACTGACAAAGGGCTTATCACATCAAAACTCCATATCATAAACTACTTCTCATATACTACTGTACTACTTTTCACCGGCCTCGCTGAAAGCACACTATTGTCTTACACGGCAAATCCTTTGAGCTGCGTTCATACATTGCTGCGGTGTCCACCAGCCTCCAGAAGTGGAGAGTATTGGAAAATAGGAGGGTAACAGACAACTAGATTACGCGTGGTGAAATTGCGGCGTGTGCAACCGCAGTATCACTACATACCGTACATCACATTGCATTATTCTGTGCTTTGGCAGCCGTACGGTGCGATTGCACTCGTCGCAGTTACATGAAGCCTGATCCAGCTGTCTGCTCCCCCCTGGTTCCCCAGATTCCAAAAGCATTCAGATACCCTCCTACTTCCGCGTACTCTCCACTTCCGTACGGTGGCGGATGCTGGTAGACGTTTGTCGTCCCTGGTGGACGCTGCGCAAAGTATAAACGCAGCCTCGATTCGTAACTACGGACGCATATCGTACTATTCTTTTATATTATGTACCCGAAAAACTTGAACTGACTTCCATTACTGGGATGCTGCCTGTTTAATTCATATTTGCCCTCCTATTGACGCCCTTATTTCATTCTAGAAATCCTCTCCAAAAAGCATACTTTCGGTCACGGTGCTGCTAACCTATCACCATCCATTACCTCTCTTCTCTCTCTATGTCAGTGAGTTGTTTATTTCTGGCAGTCGTTTGCCAGCTAGTTTAGTCTTTTCGAATTGCCGTTATTCCTTTCACCTTTATTGCTACCTCGTCGAGCTACCGCTGCAGCAACTGCCCACAAACATCGCGTGCACGTGAGTCTAAGGCAGTGAGCAGGGGAAGCTACCAACCGCTCACTTCATTCAGAGTCTGCCTGCATACCACACGATTGCCCTCATTGCATTTGCTGGAAATCTATAGGAGGAAACGCTTTGGTTCGCCATCACTGTGAGTCGACTATGGTCCAGAAGAAGAGGGGTTAGTGTCTGTAGTGATATGAGGATGATGTACAGGTCTTCGTCAAATTCATACGCGCTTCCATTTGACGAAGACCTGTACGTCATGGGTTATTTCAATGGACACATTGGCGCGAGCAGCCACCAGTTCGAAGACACTCATAGACGATTCGCGCCTACGGCACAGAATGAGATGGCATAAGCATATTGAAGTTCGCCATGTCACTGGATCTGGTCATAATCAGCACCTTTCCGAAGAGAGAATCCCACTTAGTTACGTGCTGTAGTGGGGGACAGCATGTAACTGCTGTCCCCCAGTAAGACTTAGACCGACCGCATTTTGACGCGGAGGAGCCAACGAAGCAACATGCTAGACTGCAAGGTGATCCCATCGGTAACGGTCAACAGTCAACATCGTCCAGTCATTGCGACCATTAAGATGCCGGCCAACTCATATGACTTCAAGCAAGCGACGTCATCAGAAAGCTTATGAGGTGGAACAGGATTGCTACGCTGGGACCAACTGTCAAGGACCACTTATCGATGAAGATCCATCAGGCCACGTCCGAAGACGTTGAGAAGACTGGAAGAGACTTGTCGGTGAAATCCGAGATACCGCGCGGCCCATTGCCTATAAGAAGGAATTTGAACGTGCATCGGACCGACGTGCCTGGTTCTGAAACTAGAATGTCTCACGGCGAAGGAAGACGCGTACAAAGCGTGGTACCTG